AAGAACAATGTATTTTGTGACATATTCAATATTGGAATTATGGCTGCACTGGTTGACGTCACACAGCTAGGTTTAATATATTCCCTGAGTGGTTAAAATGATTGGCATTTGTCCACAAATAACATCACCATCATAATCGCCATTGTTCACACATCTCACATACCAAATATTGGGAAGAAATCTGAACCTTATTTTCAGTCCTCAATATAATTTTGGCTGATAAATCATCAATGGCTCTTCAACAGGATTGCGGCTCAGAGCAACGACATGAGCCAATCTAATTCCTGGGCAATGCTGGATTGAGAACTTATATTCCTGAGTAACCAACCACTATCGTGCAATTCTTGGAATTACTTTCCGTTTTGACATTGCTGTCCTCAAAGCATTGCAGTCTGTCACTATTCTGAACTCAAGTCCTAGCAGGTAGACTCGGACTCGTTGACGAGTATTCACAATAGCCAGCGTTTTGAGTTTATATGAATGGTATCGGCCTTCTTCCTTGGTAGTCTGTCGGCAGAAATATTGAACCAGACTCAACTTTCCGTCTTCCTGTTTTTGTAGTAGGATTCCGTCTAGTCCAAATTCAGAATCATCTGTATGAACCTCTGTTTCTGCTTTCGGATTATAGATGGCAAGGACTGGTCTTTCAACTTCAATTTTTTGAATGCTCCCTGTTGATCATAGTTTCCCATATAAATGAAGTGTCTTTCTTAGTCAACAAAGTTGATAGTCGTGCGATATGAGCAAATGATTTCACGTATTTTCTGAAATAATTGCAGAATCCAACAAATTGTCGAACATTGTGGACATTTTGAGGTATGGGATAATTCTTCACTGCTTGAATTTTCACAATACCGGGTCGTACACCATTTGCACTAATTTCGTGTCCTAAGTAATCAATACTTTCCTGGAAAAATTTGCATTTTTCAAGTCGTAGAGTAACGTCTGATTATCTAAAATACTCCAAGACATCTGCAAGAGCAATCAAACCGGAATTGAAGTTTGCAGATGGCACCAAAACATCATCCATATAAGGCATTGCAGTAGAATATCGTATAGCGCTTAATATTTTATTCATGGTTCACTGAAACATTGCTGGAGCATTAACGAAACCGAATGGCATACGGAGATACTCATATTGCCCGGAGTGACGAAAGCCGTTTTCTGCTTTGACTCCTCCGCTATGGGTATCCACTAGCCATGTCCAAAGTAGTGAATAATTTACAGCCCTTAAGTACTTCGAGGTGATCATCGGTGTGACAAAATACCAAAGTCGACTGAATCTTAACCCATCAAATCATCACCGAAAGTAAACTTGGATCGACCTTTAATATAAAACTCTATTAACCCTAATCAAAAAATATAACCGCAAAGTTAAGATTTAAAGAGAGCCTCTTTTTACCTGCGCTTAATAGCCCCGAGGGCAAAAAAAAAACCCCGCCCTTTATAATAACAACGAGCGATGAAATTGATCTTTGAAACTTTAAAAGTTTAAAGAGGAGAAGAGAAAGTTCGCGAGAAGGGTTGCGTTTCGGATTAAACTTTGAAAGCGATAAGAATCTCTTATGAAATAATTATAAAATCACAGCAACTTTCATCAAGAATTTTAAAAAAACAAATAATTTAAAATTGCAACTGTGTAGGTGTAGAGTGTAGTTCTACACTTTTTTTTTTGTTTTGCAGTTTTTGTTTTGTACGTTCGCTTTCTGCCTTGTTTGGCCCTGTGCCTGGCTGGCACGGCCCTCCTGCTTGATGCCTCGCATCCGTTTCATGCTTAGTTAAATTTTAATATTATACTCTGAAGCATAATGGGGAAGCATTCGTCCAAACGTATACATTTTTATGATTCGATTTTTTTTTTGCCGGAGCAGGAAATTAAAGAACTTATCTGTGCGTTGTTTTTTGAGAAAATATATTACGAAAAATTTCAGGATAATAATAATTGCATGTTAGAGTTTGTTTCGATGTGCAAAATACTGCTGAACATCAGCCAGATGAAAAAGAACATTTGATTTTTTTTCGAAAGTTCTCGAACTCCCTATAAAACATTTCATTCTTTTTATTTATCAAATCAAACACTAAAGAAAAACTTCGAAACGGACGTAAAATTGGCAAAGTACATTTGCCGGCTTTGCATAAAACACAAAAAGAAGGGTTCGTCCCCCCTTTCTCGCGCCTCCACTTTCCGTTTGCTCTATTTAATTTTGTCGTTTCTTTCTTTCAAAAAAGTTTCGCTGTCAAGAAGAAGAACAATTTAACCGCAGTTTCCTTTTGTTTTCACGACAACGTTGCAAAAGTTTCTTTCTTGTTACGTTGGGCCACAACAAGAGCGACACACGCAAACAAAAAGTATGTTAAAAGGGCATCAAGAACTTTAATAAAATTATAATTGAATTAGGGAAAAAGAATTTTGATCAATTTTTCTGCATTTCTTCTCAAGTTAATTTCCAGTTGTTCTATAATTGGAATGGATTTTAAAAATTTCAATTTTTTTCTATAGAAGTTTTTTGATGAATGGTTTCCTCATTTTGAAGCTCAATTTATTTGATTCAATATGTTATGATTTGGTACCGAATCTGAAAATTCAATGGAATTGAAAAAAAAAATCACCTCTTTGAAGAGCTTTCACTAAAACACCGGGCGGCAGATGAACTAGAGGATGAGAAACGGATCGGGAACTCGTTGAGACCTTGCGAATTAAATTTCCGGCGATAATCAGTAATAAAAACTAGTGGCGAATTGGCAATAACTGATGTTAACTGGCCTCAACATCTGCTTGAATAAGTGAAAGGAACCACCCTCTGGGTACCACTTTAGAAGCCCATAGGCTACCTCTTAGTATCCGGCTTGCGAGAATCGACAAAGACGAAGATCTCCAACCCTCCTAACTTTCAGCGATTCGCTGAAAGTACCCTCTGGTTTCTTGTTGTTTTCCCATTGGTTCTCAAGTTTATTCAACCTTCCCCATTCAAACTGCTCCACCCTGTGATCCAGTTCGATGGCTTTCCAACAGAGTTCGCTGGTTACATGTGGTCAAATTATTAATTGAACCTTTAATGTTTTCCCTTTTAATTGAAAACCTTTCCCTTTTCTAATTACCTATGCTTTCTTTTCTTATTTCCTAATTTCTAAGCTAATTATCAAGAGTGTGAAATGAATTAAACTATCCTCTATTAATATTATAATAATAAAATAATTGAGTAATGACTCCTACATTAGCCTACCTATATCTTAATTATAACTAATAGCGATTTCCATCCTTATATTTCATATGCTTCTAGGAAAAGATGGGGATACACTCAGTACACGCTGATTAACAAATGGAAATCGCCATAAGCGTTTGACTATCCTACAGTTAACATTTCACCCAAGTCATAACCCTTGATAATTATATTGTTATAGAATTAATTATTGTATCTCAAAAATTTAGCTCATGTATTGCTTCGCTCCACACACACACATGCTTCGAATAAAATTCTTTCCAGCAACGGTATCAGTTACCTGATATCTGGGTTCGTCATGAAACGTGAGTATTCAGAAAATTATCCTTAACTTTGAATAAATTATCACAACCATATGGGATCTGGTTCAGTCGACAGATTAGTTTGAAGTTTAGTGTTTATCTAGGAAAACATTAATTTGGCCTATATATTTGTCAATTTCGGGTTACAGCAATAATAATCTTGAAGCTACAAAATTCGATACTTTTTTGGCTTTCAGATGATTTTCACTCTGGAACAGATTAGGTTGTTTTTGTGTTTGTAAATCCATTCAGGGTCACATTTTAACTATCTATAAAAATGAAACTTTTCCCCATGAAAAATAAACTTGTGATGCTTATGAATTTACTGTTGATTCCATTACAACCTAGGGATTTCTAATAACTTCACTCATTTGAAAGATGTGAGGTTATTATCGGCCATCATATGACATTTCTGCATTACCATTTTCCGATTAGCAATGTCATAATCCCGTATAGCATTGACTTGCTTGAATAGTTTACAGAGAATTGTCTCGTCCCATAAACCCTACACACACACATGCTTCGAATATAATTCTTTCTAGCAGCGGTATCAGTTACCTGACATCTGAATTCGTCATGGAACGTGGGTATTCAGAAGATTATCCTTGACTTTGAATAAATTATTACAACCACATGGGATCTGGTTCAATCGACTAATTATTTTATGTTTAGTGTTTATCTAGGAAAACATAAATTTTGCCTATATATTTGTTAATTTCGGGTGACAGCATAATAATCTTGAAGCTAAAAAATTCGATACTTTTTTGGCATTATCCTCTGACAGATTAGGTCGTTCGCAGAACTCCATGTGTTTGTAAATCCATTTATAGGGTCACATACACACGAAAGATAAACATATACCGAGATTATGAATTTACTATTGATTTTGTTACAGCTGTAGGGATTTCTAATAACTTCACTCATTGGAAAGATGTGAGGTTATTATCGGCCATCATATGACATTTCTGCATTACCATTTTCCGATTGACAATGACATAATCCCGCATGGCATTGACTTGCTTGAATAGTCTATAGAGAATTGTCTCGACCCATAAACCCCGCCTTTTCCGACCTCACCGTGAATTACTTTTAATTAAACAAAAAAAAAAAAAACCGTATTCTTTAATTACGTCAAGATCCTTAGGGAAAGCGACGTCAAAAGGCGGGCGTCGCCGTTCAAAATGGAACCGATTTAGAAAAAATCCCGTCCGCAATTACTCAATGCCAAACCGACGCTAAGCCGCTCTGTGTCTTATGTTAATCCCGGTTTAATCCTGTCCGCGTGCTTTTCCGCCCCGCCAAAATCTGTGCCATTATTCACACGTCCCGGGCCTGTCTACAACGAACGACGGCGTTCGGTTAACGGTTATTACCCGACGCCGCCGAAATGGGACGGTTCGTTTGTTGCCGTCATTCTTGGACGCGATGTCACTTTTCAAGACTGAAAAATTAATCTATTTTGTTTTTTTAATTCCAGCTTTGCCTAAATCAGGTCCAGAAATCACCGGAGGACAACTAAGGTACCACGTCGGTGATGTCATCAATGTAACCTGTTCGACTCGCGAGTCGAAACCGGCCGCGCAGCTGAATTGGATGATCAACGGTGAAGCTGCTGATCAAAAGTACATTCAGGGACCGTTCAAGCAGTTTGTGGGTCGAGAGGGGCTCGAGTCTACAAGCTTGCAGCTTCAGTTTGTTGCCAGGCCGAAACATTTTAAAAGAGGTAACATGAAGCTGAAATGCTTGGCCACCATAGCGACAGTTTATACGACGAACAACGAAAAAAGCTACGAAGGAGAGAGGCCCCAAAGGGGTTTGGTATTGGAGAGTAGGGGCACGGTGGCTCCGTCAGCTGGATCTAGAGCGGACAGAGTGCACACTTCAGGTAAAATTTTCAACTCTTACTTAATTTTGATCCGTGATTGAGCTTGTTTTCTTTCACTGGTTTTCTTTGAACCAAGCTATTCATGTTCCTTGGACATGGACAAGGCAATTTTGGAACGCTACATGTAAAGAAATTTAATGAAATGAATCAAAAAAATTCCATTTTTCTCTCGTTGAGAAATCACACAAAACGAACTCAAAGAAGAAAAGTTATTTATCGCGGACTAATTCCCGAAAGGTCGAAAATCTCATCCCGACACCTGATACCCTTAATAACCATGGCGAATCCTCGAGGAGAAAGGCGGAGAAAAATATAATAATAATCCTCTGTACAAATGAATGATTTTCTACTCTGAGGCCGAATTAGCGATTTTTCTTTTTTTTGTTGGCTTGAAAAAGTTAATTTCGAGTGAAGGGGAAGTTTTTTTTTTCGATTTAGGCGTAGGAGTTATGGACTTCTCAATTGATAAGGTCAGAAATCAAAGGTTTTGTGCGTCTCTAGTCCAATTTTAGATTTGTAAGTTTTTGAAGTCAAGATTCGAAACTAGCTCAACGTTTTCATAAAACTTCAGGAATCGAAACAATGTGCTTCTCTTGTTCAATCACTTGTAAATCAGTTGGTGTTGAGATTTGTACGCTTGTCCAATCAAACTTCAGCTTTACCATGTCAAAAATTAACTTCAAGCTCAACTTTATGTTTGGTAATTGAAGATTTTGTATGCCTTTCCAGATGAAGTTTAGCTTATCTTCTTCTTCTTTATGCTGTTAGTTTTTTTGCGTTGCATGGGATTGGCTGTTTTTCGTTGTGGGTAGAGCTTGTGAAGGGTATCGCCGGAACATATAAAAATAGCTGTTTTCAGGCCAGAAGCAGTCAGTTCTCTTCAGACAGTGATTGAGACTTTATCTCGTCTGCCCCGTTCTCTGCGCCAGAGACAAGAACAGCTCTCCCCTCATTTGTTCGACAGAAGTGCTGTGACATGTACCCGGCACTGAGGAGCGCGTATTAGGCTGGCAACGTTCTGCTGTGGGTCACCTTGCCTTAGGGATCACTTTATGTGGCCGGTAGACGAACCTTTCAGAGCGTTGTTGGTGCGAGCTACATCATAGGTACGAAGAGGAGAAAGCCAACGTTACAACCCCTCAGGCGCGAAATAAGGCTTCCGGAAAAACCCAGTTCGTCGCAAGGAAACCCGCATTAATCCTCGCATTGGAGGTTGATGTCCTGGGGGAGTACTTCGCATTAGTTTACCACCAATCCCCGACGAAGCCCTTTGTCTAGGAAATCTAGACTCCCCTTCCGCGTTTGTTAGTTATATTTTTGGACACCTTCTTCAAAGGTTCCCGACCCACCGTGTCCTTCCTCGACGATTTTCGTGAATGTTTATGGAAATTCTCATCTCTTCTGCAAGCTCCACGTCGAATTGAAACTTAAAAATCAAATAATCATTTTCTTCCTCCAAAGGCTCACCAAGTTGGGACAAAATTTGTAAAAAGACTAGAAAGTCTAAATTATCCAAGGTCAAGACTTTTTCTTGAGGCTTTTTTAGGAAAAATCTCAATTTCAATTCAACTTAAAGCAAGATTAGCTTCGCCGAGTTGGGACAGAGTTTTATAAGAAGACAAAAGACGAAACTACCCCCAGCTTGAATTTTTCTTCAAATTTTACGGAAAAATCTCAATTTCATAACAAAGACAAAAGCAAGATTGCCGCCGAGTTAGAACAGAGTTTTATAAGAAGACAAAAGTTGAAACTACCTCTAGCTTGAATTTTATGAAGGGGTTTTTGGGAAAAACCTCTTTTTCACTACAGTACAGACGAGACTTTGACAAAAACACACGAACCTTCAAAGATTAGACTGGTTTTTAGACCTGGTGAACCGTTTCTGTTCCCCCGTGTTTTCATTTGTCTCTTAACTTCGCGAAACCGTTCGACGGTTTCCTCAGAGTGCCATTTGAGTTCAACGTACTGTCGTTGCAAACAAAAGTTTCTAGACACCGTGTTAATACAACTTTGGCCCCTCGGACTTGGAAAAAACCTAGTTGGAGCCCTGCTCCCGTACCATACAAAAACGTCAATTCTCACTTCCTTTTTTCTGGAGGCTGCTGGTTCGCAAGCTCATTCCTTAAAGAACCAGCGGGGTGGTTTTGGCGGGACCTCCTCTCAGTACAACTGAGAAGTTGTACAAACACCCGTGGGAAACAAAAACGGTTATTTCGCCCCAAAAACAACTGGTATCCCAAACCGACTTCAGACAATCGACAAAAATGACGGACAGATACAGTCCAGACCTATACGGCAACTCTAGACGAGTTGGACATGATCCTAAGTCAAGACCTCATTCTTGCGGCCGTATTAGAATCCGATTTTAACGAGCCTGAAGTCCCGCTCGGCGCAACAAGCCTAAATTCGCCCGACCGACGCAGCGAAACTTGATTTTCTACGCTCACTTTTTGCTGAACTCGAAGAGTTTAAAAGGCAAAAGGAAGTCGAAGCTAAGAAAAGCTTATTGCACGACAGTTTGAGGTCGTCCATCCATCAATCTCAGATTTTTTCATTCGAATCTCTAAGAAAGTCAAAAATGAGTTTGAGCTCACGAGGAGAGCTACTCTATTTCAATTTCAACGGAAGAATAAACAAAAATTGTTTTGCTTCTTTAGTTCAATTTAAGATACAGTATTTTTCATGCTTCTTGAGTCAAATTTCAGCTCTACTATGGTTGAAAAATGCTTTGAAAATCAGTGTAACTCAACTTTAAACTTTAACTGAACTTTGGTGAAAACTTAGCTATTCAGCTCAACCTCAACTCTTGAGTATCCATGGATCATACTTCAGCTCAGTTTTGAGTGGAATGTCAGTAATAAAGTTTGTACACTTTTCTAGTCGAATTTCAGGGTCAAAAATGAGATTTTCAACTTAACTTCAACTCCAGAAAATTCAGAAATGGCAGTATTCTATAATTGTCAAGTTCAATTTCTACTTAGAGGGCCTATAATAAGACTTACATATTTGTCTAGTCAACTTAAACGAGGTTCAAAAATGAGCTGTTCAGCTCAATTTCAACTCTGCATCGATTAGAATTCCAAACAATAAACTTCTTTGGTTCAATTTCTACTTAAAGAGGCCTGGCAATAAGACTTTTACACTTCTTCACTCAAATTTCTGCACTACGAAAGTCGAAAATGAGCTTCTGAGCTAAACTTTATCATCATACACTGCATAAGAGCTTATGATGCTTAGGCTACACTAGTCGAATTTTAGCTCTGCACCTCTCATTCTGAACCCCCCAATGCACATAGATCGTCGTGTCGAATATCAGAAATTTAATTCTAATTTTAGGACAATAAGACTTGTAGGTACATCGAATTAAAACTCTATAAGGATCAAAAATGAGCTGTTTAGCTCAATTTCAACTCCACATTGGTCGTATTTCGGAATATTGAACTTCTCTGCTGAGTTGGTCATATAATGTTTAGATCAAAAATGAGCTGCACCCTGCACCTCCCACTCCGAACTCCCCCAATGCACATAAATCGCCGATTCAAATATCAGGAGTTAAATCCCAATTTTTGGAGGACAATAAGACTTGTACGTCGAATTAAAGCTCTACTAAAATTCTAGAATGCTCAAAAAGCGCAATGGCTAGGAAAATGATTCTCCCAACCAATTCTATCTGTACGGAGCACAAAAATGAGCTCCTAAAATCGCTGTAGCTCAACTTCAATTTCAGATTCAATTTCTTGTCCATTCTAGTGTTTATTGTTGGGCTGCCTTATGCAGTCCTGAAGTTTAGACTCGATGACGTTTGAGTAAAAGTATTACAATGAGCAGTGAATGATGCGAACAATGAACATGTTCAGGAATGGTTCTTATATCTTGCGAAGAATATAATAGACTGGTGGACATTTCCAGAAATTTTACTCCGAGAGGCATTTCGTGCGACATTCGGCATTGTAGGGTATTTCGACTCCGTTGAATCCGAATCCGGATGTTGCCAAGCCGAATTTTGCCTCCAAGCCTTCAAATCCAAGTTGGCGGCCAAACTAAGGGCCTAAATGACATTTTTCTTGTATCGTTATTGACCGGCGAGATGTCGTTTCATATGTTTTTGGGGTCGCTGAACATGAATATGAGTACCGGAAGTCGATTCGAATACAAGAAGTACCATAATTTAAGATTGCGGCCGTGTCGGGGGCCTGAATACAGAAGTTTCAGAAGTTGGCATATTGTCAAGTGCAGCGTATCGGCACATATGTTTTTGACGTCGACTAAATCAAAGATTAGCACCAGAAATCGATTAGGCAACCAGAACTTGCGTAGTCCAAGATGGCGATCAGTTGGGTCCCAAAAACCAAACTTTAAAAAGTTGTTATAATATGACATGCTGGGTATGACCACAAGTACTTTAGAGGTCACTGAACACGAATTTGAGGTCGGAATAGCAATATGATGTTAACACAGACTTGCCGAAATAAAATAGTACAACTATACTTTGAGGATCAAACAAAATGCACAAAACATTTTACATGAATACATCATCACTGTCATTATTGTTTTCGCAGTCTGCCTAACACATGTACAACTTGGTGCAGACCTCTCTCTCAGGCCTGCAGTTGCACAGGCGTGTGCTCCACCCTGACCTGCAGCCACAACTCAGTAACTGTGTGCAGGACTTGAGCACCGCTGGTAGGGTGGTGTAGACACTAGACTGGGATGTAGTTCTCCTCCAGACGACATCCGTACTGGCAAGGATCAGAAAGGTCTGGCCTTGCTATATGTGCATTCAGCCAGACCCCGGTTGGTAGGTGGCTCGGAGAATGTGAAGACGGAGGAGAAGTACATCCCAATCTACACCACCCTGTCAGCGGTGCCCAAGTCCTGCACATAGTTACTGAGTTGTGGCTGCAGATCAGGGTGCGGCACAAGCTTGTGTAAGTGCAGGCGGGAGGGAGAGGTCTGCACCAAGTTGTGCAAGTGTCAGGCAGACTGCGAAAACAATAATGACAGTGATGATGTATTCATGTAAAATATTTTGTGCATTTTGTTCACCCCTCAAAGTAAAGTTGTACTATTTTATTTCGGCGAACCTGTGTTAACATGTTTCCTATCGCTTTTCCGACCTCAAATTCGGGTTCAGCGACCTCTCAAACACTTGTACTCGTGGTCATACCCAGCATGTCATATTATAGCAACTTTTTAAAGTTTGGTATTGGGGCCCCAACCGGTCACCATCTTTGAGGACGGTAGGTACTTCCGGTTGCCTAATCGATTTTTGGTACTAATTTTTGATCTAGTAGACATCAAAAACATATGCGCCGATACGCCGCACTTGACAATATTCCAATTTCTGAAAGTTCTGTATTTAGGCCCCCGACAGCCGCCATCTTAAATTATGGTACTTCCGATATCCGAATCGACTTCCGGTACTAATATTCATGTTCAGCGACCCCAAAAAAACGCCGGTCAATAACGATACACTTTAAGAAAAATGTCATTTATGCCCTTAGTTTGGCTGCCATCTTGGATTTGAGGCCTTTGGAGGTAAAATTCGGCTTGGCAACATCCGGTTCGGATTCAGCGGGGTCAAAATATCCTAGAAACGTCAAGCTGCCGAATGTCGCACGAAATGCCGCTCTGAGTTAAATAGAGTACAATTTTTGAGAATGTCCACCAGTCTATTGTTCGTCGATTTTAATCTGACACTTTCAGTATGGGGAGCGAGGCGGTAAAGTATAGTGTGACGTCAGGTGGCCATTGGCGTTCTAACGTAGGGAACCACCAGTTCACATTTTTTTGGAGTATCAGATTAAAATCGACGGACTTTATAGTTTCTTTCAATGGAAATTTTGGCTATGGGTAACAAAATAAAGCTCATGTCGATACATTTTCTCCAATGGCGTCTCATAAAAGTTTAAAGCTCCAAAAGACATAAGTCAATTTACATTTCGCCATCGGAAATTCAGCAAAAGGCAACAAAACAATCTGCCAAAAACCTCCTCGAACAGTAGTAGCATATACATAAATAAATTTTCTGCATTGCACCAACCCCATCCAACGTGGCCTACTAAAAAATTTACGATCTGCACGCTCCCTCCAAAAACAGAAATTTCGGTGGTAAATAAGTTTAAAGGAGTGGGGCGCAAGAAGGGGCGCCGCGACGCGCCGTTGTAGGCCGTCAACGGCGACGTCGGACGTCCCCCATTTTATTTGCCCTGGAAAATTTAGTTTTCCAGGGACGAAATAAAGCGGAACTTTGTGCGGTTTTATATTTCGCCCCGGTAATATCCCGACGAGCAAAAATAAAATGTTATGTTTTTCGGCTTGGATGTTCGCCCCCTCTCGGAAAATTGTTGTGTTGCGTGCACTTGCAATTAGGACTCGGACGGCGGGATAAATTAATTTGTTGTCGGGGCGGTAATTTTTTATTTTTATTTTTTGTGTGGCTGGAACTGGATTTTTGCCAGCTTAATTTGGTTAGAAAAATATCATTCGTTTGCGTTGGGTTTGAAGTAGAATGGAAAGTAGAGGTGGCACTCATTATCCTATATAAATCTTCATAAGAAAATCTAAGGTCCAAGCTACACTTTTTTATACCGTTCAAGGTCATCACTCGACAGCCTTCGGTTCAGGCAGATCGGTACGAGGTTATCACCCGTCACTGCATCGGGTATCATCGTTTCGCCATCGGATAATAATAAATTCTGTATTTGAAAAAAATTTGATTGGGAAACCAAACCCTGGGACCATTATATGAAAATCCAATACTCTTAACACTTGATAAAACCTAAGCTATAATCTATACAAGTATAGAGACAGGTCTTTATACAGCTATATAGGGCTAGAGGCAGGTCTGTATAGCTATCTACATACTTGTATCTAGACCTGTCTCAAGACTATATTGGCTGTATACAAACCTGTCTCTGGACCTGTATAGCTGTATACAGACCTATCTATAAATTAGGGTTATCTACTGATAAATCTCCTCCAGAGGACAAAGGGTGTAGAACCGGCCATCTATATTTACTATAGAACCTGTACTGCGAAACTACTGAAGGAGATTTCACAAAAGAAAATTTTTTACAATTATTACTACTTAAATCCTCTAAATTTCAAGTTCCAAGAAAAAAAACCAACAACAATATCGAAATCAACTCTCTAAACTTAATCTCTTTTTGTTTCAGGCTCGCTATCGATTGCGTCGACACCGACTTTGTCATCGATATCGGTAATCATCGCCTGGACTTTGCATTTGAAAGGACTCATCTAAAGCGAAAAATTAAAAAGACTTTAATTTTTAAAGCGCCCTTGAATCGGTCTTTGAAAAATATTATAATGTTAAGTGTCTGTTGTACATTCCTCCGCTCACTTGTGTATAATATTTACTTCTACATCAGAAAGTGTATTTTATAAGTGTTAAATTTCATTGTTTAGTGGTTTTTTGGGCATGAATGAATCGAGATCCCTTTTAAGTCTAAGTTGTTATCGGAAGTCAATTAAAATGCAAATAATTTATAATTTGATTATATTTTGGATAATCATTAAATCATTTGCAGTATTTTATTGAAATTTGCATTATGTGTGATCAATCCATGTTCTCATTTGTACTTCCAGGATATTATCTTCCTTTTCAAGCCATTTTGTAACGTTTCTATACATAATTTGTCGAAATTCCAATGATTCTAGCAACAACACTCAGGATCAGGTATCTCTTTGATGGAGGGCGACACCATTTAGTGAAACATCTCTCTAATAGATGGCAGAACTATTCTTTATTAATTATATTCTGGAAAGATGGTATCTAGTTATAATTATTTACTTTTTAGTAAAGCATACTTGTATATATACTTCTCTATTTAAGGCTCATTGTCAAAATTCTCCTCCATGTTCTCTTTTTATTTGGCTCTCTAGGTTTTCAACGGTTCTATCAAAGTCTGTTCTATGTTTGAAAATCGCTTACCTCCCAATCTCCTGAACTATGATATTTCAGCTAGATGAGGGCTTAACAATACGATAATAAATCGATATAATATCGATAGGCTCTCAACCATAATCGTTAAATACAAATGTCAATGTTCAAAATGATCAGGACATTTATATTTTTTCTATTCCAGAATCTTGAATTTTCTTTATTCCGGCAAATTCAAAAGCAAGGAATAGACAGAAATTGAGCTGGAAAAATTGAAAAACAGAGAAAAAAAATTCAAGGGAAATCGAGAAAAAATTGTTAAACAAAAAGTATTTTTTCTACAAACGTGTTAAAAATGCAACTTTTAACACCCCCTCGAAGCATTAAAAATGTTACTTTATCGCACTAGTGTTAAAAGTCTTTAATGCACTAGTGTTAAAAATGAAACATCAAAATTTGAAAGCAAACGTCAAAAAAAGTTTGTATTTTTAATTTTTTACATTAATTTTAATGGTAAAATTTGAACAACTGAGGAAGCTCCGTCGGCCGCCTCCTCTATATTTTTCAAGGGATTGATGCAACCCTCTTTTTCTTGCGTATTTTGTTGCATTTTTAGCAAAAAGCCTACTGACCACGATAGACCATACGACAGACTTTTAAGAAACTGACGAGACATTTCATTACCTGTAAAACAAGGTGCTGGTTGTTTGAATTTTTTGACAAATATCAAATTCATTAATTTTACGTAGGAAAGATGCTTCCAATTTATTATTCATTTGAAAATCCAATTTGTCACTGGTTATTGCTTGTTATTGCCGTTTGTAGAAAAAATATTGTATGATATTTGTGTTAAAAGTATTTTTAAGGCACTTATGTGAATTGCAGAATTCGCTTCGCTCATTCTGCAAACTTTCACATGCGTGCCTTAAAAATGTACTTTTAACACTTATATCATAAATAACTATTATTTCTATTGAGACGACAAAAATGAGGAATATAGGAAAAATGTAAGAAAAATTGAGAAACCAATGGAAGTTTTATAAGTCGACATTCATGTTTTTTTTTTCCATTCCAGGCTCTTCAATTTCCTATAATTCGACAAATTCAAGAGCCAGGAATAGATAAACATTGAAATGAGGAAATTGAGAAATAGGTTTTCCGTGTTTCTATTGATACTTTTCATTGATAAGTAGATACAAAAAGAAAACATCCTGTCTTTTAAAAAATCCCCTCACATTTTAATAATTTAAGGGAAAGTTTTGAAGCTTCTAGGGTGGAAAGAGAAAGATTTGGAGCTCATCATACTAAAATTTCAAATTGAACCAATGCAAGCGAAAATCATGAGAAAATCTTGAATATCAACTTTGAAATAATAATATCCAAAAATTGCACCCTCTCATCGTTTTTCGAGAAACTAGTAGAGGGAAAAACTTGAAATATCTGAAGTGAAAAGAGGAAGATTTGGAGCTCATCATACTGAAATTTCAGACAAATTCAATTTAAAATACCAACATGAGAAAATCTTGAATATCAACTTTGAAAAAGAAAAATCAAAAATTTGCACCCTCTCATATTTTGATGCTTTTTTTTAGGAAACTAGTGAGGGGAAAATTTTGAAACTTCTGGAGTGAAAAGAGGAAGGTTGAAAGCTCATCATACTAAAATTTCAAATGGATCCAATGGAAAACACCAACATGAAAAAATCTTGAATATCGATTTTGAGAAAAAATATTGAAAAAACTGCACCCTTTCTTGCTTTGATGTTATTTTGAAAAACTAGTGAGAGCAAAAACTTTAAACTTCTGTGGTGGAAAGAGGAAAATTGGGAGTTCATCATACTAAAATTTCAGATGGATCCAATGGAAAACACCAACATCAGAAAATCTTGAATAGGTACCAAAAAATTGCACCCTTTCATATTTTGATGTTTTGAAGAGCAAAAATTCTAAACTTCTACTGAGTTGAAAAGAGGAGGGTTGGAAGCTCACCATACCAGAATTTCAAATGGATAAAATGGAAAACACCAACATGAGAAAATTTTGAATATCAACTTTGAGATAGACAAATCAAAAAATTTCACCTTCTCATATTTTGTTGATTTTTTGAGAAACTGGTGAGAGCAAAAATTTTAAACTTCTTAGGTGGAAAGAGGAAGGGTGGAGGCTCATAATACTAAAATTTCAAATTGATTAAGTGGAAAATACCAACATGAGAAAATCTTGAATATCAACTTTGAGAAAGAATAAATCAAAAAATTGCACCCTTTCATATTTCCATGTTTTTTGTTGGAAAACTAGTGAATAAAAAAAAACGACACTTCTGAGGTGAAAAGAGGAAGGCTGGAACCTCATCATACTAAAATTTCAGATGCATCCAATGGAAAACACCAGCATGAGAAAATCTTGAATATCAACTTTCAGAAAGAAAAATCAAAAAATTGCACCTCTCATATTTTGATGTTTTTTTTTGAGAAACTAGGTGAGCAAAAATTTGAAACTTTTAAGGTGAATTGAAAAAGGTTAGAAACTCATTATACTAAAATTTCAAATGGATCCAATAGAAAACATCAACATGAGAAAATCTTGAATATCAACTTTGAGAAAGAAAAATCAAAAAATTTCATCTTCTCATATTTTGATGTTTTTTAAGAAACTAGTAAGCGCAAAAATTTAAAACTTCTGAGGTGAAAAGAGGAAAGTTGGAAGCTCATCATACTAAAATTTCAGATATATCCAATGGAAAACATCAACATGAGAAAATCTTGAATATCAACTTCAAGAAAGAAAAATCAAAAAATGGCATCCTCTCATATTTTGATGTTTTTTCGAGAAACTAGTGAGAGGAAAAATTTGAAACTTCTGGGGTGAAAAGAGGAAGGTTGGAAGCTCATCATACCAGAATTTCAAATGGATCTGATAGAAAACACCAACATAAGAAAATCTTGAATATCAACATTAAGAAAGAAAAATAAAAAAATTGCTCCTTCTCATATTTTGATATTTTTTTGAGACACTCATAAGAGCAAAAACTTTTCACTTCTGTGGTGAAAAGAGGAAGATTTGGAGCTCATCATACTAAAATTTCAGATCGATCCAATGGAAAATACCAACATGAGAAAATCTTGAATATCAACTTTGAGAAAGAAAAATAAAAAAATTGCACCTTCTCATATTTATTTTTTTTTTGTTGGAAAACTAGTAGATGAAAAAAATTGAAACTTCTGAAGTGAAAAGAGAAAGGCCGGAAGCTCATCATACTAAAATTTCAAATGAATTCAATAGAAAACACCAAAATGAGAAAATCTTGAATATCAACTTTGAGAAAGAAAAATCAAAAAATTGCACCTTCTCATATTTTAATGTTTTTTTTGAGAAACTAGTGAGAGCAAAAATTTTAAACTTCTACTGAGCTGAAAAGAGGGAGGTTAAAAGCTCATCATACCAGAATTTCAAATGGATCCAATAGAAACCACCAACATAGGAAAATCTTAAATATCAACATTAAGAAAGAAAAATAATAAAATTGCACCTTCTCATATTTTGATATTTTTTTGAGAAACTCATGAGTGCAAAAACTTTAAACTTCTGTGGTGAAAAGAGGAAGATTTGGAGCTCATCATACTAAAATTTCAGATCGATCCAATGGCAAATACCAACATGAGAAAATCTTGAGTATCAACTTTGTGAAAAAAAAATCAAAAAGTTTCACCCTCTCGTATTTTGGTGATTCTTTGAGAAACTAATGAAAACAAAATTTTTAAACTTCTGAGGTGAAAAGAGGAAGGTTGGAAGCTCATCATACTAAAATTTCAGATGTATCCAATGAAAAACATTAACATGAGAAAAACTTGAATATCAACTTAGAGAAAGAAAAATCAAAAAATTGCATCCTCTCATATTTCCATGTTTTTTGTTGGAAAACTAGTGAATGAAAAAAATTTAAACTTCTGAGGTGAAAAGAGGAAGACTGGTTTCTTGCATTTTCATTTCGATAAATTTAGCCGGGAATAAACAAAAATTGAGACGAAAAAATTGAGAAATAAAGAGAAGAAATTTGAGCGGAATTGAGGAAGAATTGGTCGACAAGTACACGTAAATTATTTTGTTCCAAACACTCCACTGATATAAAATTTGAACTAGAGGAGGGCTCATCGATACGATATATCGATATCTACATCGAAAAATATAATAGTTACTTATGTTATCAGGCCAAGAAGTTGGTCTCGTAATATCGATATGTGGAAAAAAGTAGAGATTTTGAAATAATTATGTATCGATACCTAAGAATATCGATAAACCAGTCTTAAATTTCAACTACTTACTACTTGGAACTAAACCTAAGATTATTCTTACAGTTAAATC